GGGCGGGGGCAGGGCCTGGCGCCGCGCGCCGGCCCCGCATGCCGGGCGCCCGCTCACCTGGTTGAGCTCGTTCTCGGCTGCGATGCGCAGCTTGGGGTCTATGGTGCCCTTGAGCGCCTGGATGATCCTGTTGGGATCCATCGCGCCCCGCTGCCGCCCCGCGCCTGCCTCGCTGCGAGGCGGCGGCGGAGGAGGAGGAGGAGGAGGAAGAGGAGCCGCCGCTGCCCCCCCGTGCCACAATCACACGCTCCCGTTCCCCACCCCCCCGCTCGCGCTCCACAGCCATTCACCGGTTTACGACAGCCGGCTATCGGGAAGCGGGCACTGCTTTACGGCCGCGGCGCCGCCTTCTGGCTTCCAAGCGCCCCCGGACACTGAGGGGGGCGCCATGTTGTCGTACGGAAAGGAAGAAATACAATAAAATCAACCGCGAACGCGGCCTCTATGGAGGCGCGTGGGGGCCGCCATGTTGCGGTACGGAGATGGGGGAGCGGGGCCCGTTTCTGCACTCCCTTGGTCGCTGTCAGCGTGTGTTCGCACTGTGCTGAAAACAAAAACAAAACACACTTGTTTCTCCTGCTCACCACGTACCCTGTGTTACACGGGGGCCTTAAGAACACAACTTGGCCGTATGTGATTTCAAAATGTATTTCGCTGCTGCTCAGTTGATAAGGACGTAACCTGAAAGAGCAGGTGCTTCCCTCAGGCCGAGCTCTCCTGAAGAATCCGCCTCGCAGCCGTGAGCACGCACTGCCTTTTTCACCATCCTTGGACTGGAGCGCGGACAGACTGCGCGATGTTTGCCAAAACATCCTTACTGCCGCTGGATAACCGGAGCACCTAAATTGCACAAAAAACATTAAAACGTCCTAATACTGTCRTGATTTCCGACATGAGGTCATGTTCCCCAACAACTAGGTTCGCCTAAATTCACGCAGCAATCTCGCTGTAAAAGTGCGTTGCGCCCACACGGTATTCACGGGCTGTGCCGTCCCTTGGCATTTTCCTCACGTCTGGAAGTGTCACAGAAAAGGTGGTTAGTGCCCAAAACTTCTCCCTTAGTGCAGCTCTAGAATATGCTGCGAGAAATAGTTTTTCACACGTGTTTCTATTCACCTTTCTCATTTCCTCTTAGAAGCAGGGACAGTTTGGTCAGTAAATCTTGAAATGATACCAAGGAAAAAAACAGCACGAGTGTAAAATGCATGTATTGCTAACTAATTCTCTGTCATTTTGCTATTTTTGGCTTAAGCAAAAGTTAGTAAGTAAAACAAGACCACTCAGAGAAAAATACCCATTTTAAATATRTTCACTTATCAGACTAAAAACAACTAATTCTTTTAAGGTATTTTTAATGTTGTATCTATACTTTTACTTCCAAAATTAGCATGTTAAGAGAGTTTAAAAGCAGTTCTGTTTTATTCTCTATGTATATATCTGTGGTACAGGAAATCAAACATGATAAAATTTATTCCTTAATCTTGTGGCGATGGTGACCTTAAACTTATCAGTAAAAAAGAAAATACACCCAAAGGGTTTTTTTAAAAACTTTTTTTTTGTGTGTGTGTGTATTTGGCAGATACTTCTTGGGCTTAGAATTCACATTAAAAGTAGACCTTTTAACACACAGTATTCAACACCAAAAATTTCACTTTTAAGACTCATTATTTCTGTGTGTACAGAGCCACCCCAGAGCCAATGTCAGCAAGTCCCTAGATCAAGTCACATCCAGTTCAGTAATTCCTATTATTTCCTTTTTAACATATTATCAGTGATACAGCTGTGGATAGCATTATCACAAGTGTTTTAACCTATCTTTGTTTTGCAATGTTTTTGATGCATTTCTGATACATCTCTGCGGAAAATAGGAAGAAACAGTCATGAGAGACTGTAATAGTCTAATACRGATATGTTTCGTCCTTAATTGAAAGGTTTTTATTAACATCAAAAACTTCCGAATGAAAGTAACAATTTCTAATCAAGATTTTTTATTTTTTGGTTAGGTATTGGGTTTTTTTTTTTTTTTTTTTTTTTTTGGTTAAGGTTTTGCTTTTATTTACTTAAAAAGTAACTGACCTCAAACCAAATCAGAATGTCTTTTCTAATAAATCATATTTTGCTGGTCTGGAAAAGAAGAAGTCTGAGGTCAGAATCTCTGCAGATTTCCCTGGCAACTTGATGATCTATTTCTGCCTAACGCTGCTGCTGACATAAGACCGAAGATGAAAGGAGCCAGGAAGATATAAAGAAGCCAAGGAAAGATAAATCAAATTCAGGTTATTTAGGCATACAATCATGAGGGAAAGAAAAAGGATGAGAATAAAAAAGAGGGATGAGATAGGGGAGTGCAAAGATTTAAAAAAAAGAAAACTCCAAAATGATTCAGAGGAGCAGATACTGGAATTACAGGAACCTCTGATAAAGGTGAAAAGGGCTATGCCTTAGTAAGCACAGCAGAACTGTGTGTGGAAGGGGACTGGAATCACCCAGATTAAAGAACAAAAATGGAAGGAGACCTCTAATCCGCTTTAGGAGTACAGGCTAGGTTGTAAGTAAGTGGTTAGCTGGGCAAAGACTGAGGCGGCCAAGGAGCTAAGGCCAGGACCATCTGTCTGGTCTCAACTGCACAGGTATATGCAAAGCAGTAGTCATTCTAGGACAAGTTGAAGGATAGGACAGGAAAGCCTTATGATATGAAATGATCTGTCCTATCATTATGATATGAAATCATACGAAGTCATGTTTTAACGTATTTTAGACATCAGAATACCAATTCCTTATCAGTAGATTTTGGCCAGTTATTGAACTGGAAAACTGAATAGTGCTTTCTTTAGTAATGTCAAGTATTTTAAACAAAGAACATAGCAAGGAGGAATAGTTTCAGCTAAGGAAGCATAAAAATTTGTAGTGTAAAAATTGATCTTCTCAGCTATAAGACCACAGACTCAAGYTGCAAAGATTTTTTAAAATGGCAAGTTTTGTAGAAAAAGTAAGAGTTTTATTTTTAAGGTAGCTGGCACTGTAGCTTACATGCCTGCACAGCTGTTGAAGAATTACATGATTTATAGCCAAGCATGCTCTCAAGGAATGATGCAACAACTACACTGGTTTCATATCTTCATTCTTTTTTGCTGCTAGAGTGTACCCCTGTTTGGAATTTAAATGACCACCTTATACAAATGGACAATCCAGCTTTCTGAACCTGAAATATTTCCCTTATCTTAAAAGGGTGCAAGGCAGGGACACACAAGAGCTTTGCTAGATACGTCAGTGAGAAACAAGATTAAGTCAAACAAATGATCGCTGCATGGGTCAACAATCAKCAGCAGCTGGGTCAGCAGTTGTCAAGACTGATTAAACTGAAGCAGTACAAAGCAACATGCAAGTCCCATGAAAACATAGCAACCATATTAAAAAGACTGCCCAAGGCCAAGCTTATTAAACAAAGTTCAGAGGTAGAAGTAGTCATTCTCAGTTTAAGAAATCCAAGATTCTGACACTGGTATGATGAAAGTCAAACCAAATGAAGAACTGGACCTCAAGCTGCAAGTATAAGGGACAGCCTCTCTATGCATACAGGTCACTTCCAGGCTTCACTTACAGGCTTACAACTGCCTATGCAGACAGCATGTGAGCAAAAGAACGAAGTAGTCAGCAGTACTTTAAAGTGCTCAAGATCAAGTTGCAGATGTATAACTAATGCTTTACCCTATAACTTCTTTACCCTATCACTGCACTAGCCTAGCACTTCGTATGAGAATCTACCACATTCTCCTATTCATGCTCAATAGGAGTAGACCTGAAATCTAGGAAAAGCTTAGGAAAATACCCTGCTTAAGTACTGAATATACTCCAACCATTTTTTTTGAGGTTTTTTTTTTTAAATCACTTATTGAAGTCAAAATTAGCATTAGGTTTTATTATCTCAACCTTTCCTCTGGAGGGATAGAAGTCAAGCACCAAAAGGCTTATCCCATGTCAGAGCTGCCAACAGAATCAAAACATGCTTTTAGTGTAATTAACCTCCAAAAAAGCAGCACTAGGAAAGAGAAATCAGCCTGGAATGAAATCAGGAGCTTAATACCAGCATCTTTAGGAAGTCATGCCAGAAAGCACGCTTTGACATCCTGAGGGTAACAAGGGTGAATTGTTTCAAGTTGTGAAACACCTTACTAAGAGAGGAGCTTTAATTTCATGTCACTTGAAGTAGCTAAGCCCCTTTTAACTGTGAATAGTTCTAGCAGAGCCTTGCCATGTACTGGTCAGACTCATCTGAGCAAGCTCTTTTAGCATGTGTTCTGCAACCCTAATGCMCTGATAGATGGCCATTATACTGGTATAGTTTTAAAGGTAGAAAAAGCTAGTGATCTACAGACCTCTTAACACTTCACGTGCCTTTTAAGCACTGAAAAGGGTTATGAAAAAGGCAGCCCAAACAAGAAYATTTATGGTAACAGCTTTTCAGTTATGATATAGACAGAAAGATCATGAAATCACTGAAGACTGATCACAGCCTCTAAGGGAAGAATTTCATGAGCACAAGTGCTACAGCACACTGGAGGTAGATTTAGAACCTGAGCAGAGGGCTTCAACTGCACCTACATAGTTCTGCAGCACTTGTAATCAGGCTGTAACACAAGTTGCATGACTTCCTCCCCTCCGTGAGACTTCATGACATGCATGGTTCACAAAAGTCTGTTTTACCAGCGAAATATTACATGAGAATGATACTACACAGTGAAGATAGTGTGAGCAAGGCGTAGAGTAACTGATTGGAAGTTTAAGAATTTCAACAAGTTACACAACAGCAGTCAATGTGATAATCAAGAGTTAGATTTAAGTTTCACAGGCTATGTATCTAGAAGGAGCACTCCTAATCAAATGTATAGTGTATCTCTAATTTCTTGACTTGGAGATTAAAAAAAATGAGGCAGACAGAAGCCGAATTCATTTTGATGAAGAAACACTTGAATGCTACAAACAAGAACCAACCAAAGAGTAGCCTCACTTCAATTATGCCATTTACYCTGAAGTGCTGAAACTTAGCACTAAGTCACCACTTAGTCCTAAAGTGATCAAGAAATTCATGCATGCCCCACACAGCAACAGTTAAACTCAGTTTCTCGTGATATATTGTTTTGCAAATAAAGACAACTAGCAAGGTTAATACTAAAATGCAT